TTATTTGATTTAACGAACTGAAAATTCTAATTAAGAAAAAAATACTGGTCTCTTTCTTATTTATGTCTCTTGTGTAAAATATATACAATTTTTAAAAATGGTTGAAATCTTATTAAAAATATACTTATATAATTTTACTCATAGCTGGGGTGGTGCTACACTGGGACAAGGGTGGGCAAGTCCCCTCCAAAATTTGATTTTGCCCCTCCATTAAAATGTATGTCTAATGTTGATATTTAGAAATATGGTACTTGTGCATAAATTTGATTTAACCATCATAATAAAATAAATAATTCTAACATAATAAATTTAATTTATTGATTTATATTTTAATAGGCAATACCAACATGTTAATATGTTGCTATTTAGATACTAAGTCCAAAAAGCCCTCTCTTTTTTTGTCTAATTGCAATAAACATAAAATATATTAATGTGCATATAACACATTCATATTATGTCATAAGTCATATAACCTTATGACAAGTTTACATAAAACATATAAGTACTTTAGGTTATACCTTTACCTACTTTGGATTCCATAATTTTAAAAACATGTAAAGAAATAAAGAAACTGTAAACCATTATTTGCATATAAAATTGTATTAATAACTTCAAAGAGTTTTTAGACTTGAGTTATAGTATAGCCAGTATAGGTACCTATTAAGTTTGACTGTTATATTCAAATTTAATATGCTTTTTTTTTGCACATATAGAAATAAAAATACTTAATTAAGTTAATACTAATACTGTACACTTTCTAAAATCTCATACATTAAAAAATAAAAAGTTAAGTATTATTAGGAAATTTGAAGTTTTACTGTAGTACTTTTGTGATAATAATATAGTAGGTATATTTTTGATCATTTATTTAAAAATATAGTATATTATACCCAAAACATTTTAAGCAATACTTTCTGAAAATATGATACCTACCTATAAACAAATTAATGGGTGATCCAGTAGCCGTATATAACTGCCTCACCAGAAAAAAATTTGGCCCCTCCAATAAAAAATATCTGTCACTGCCACTGACTGGTAGATTTTACGTTTTGAATCTTCCTTACATATCTTGATGCAAGTGATGTATGTACTTGTTGAAGGTTAATACTTTTTACTTTTTGTTCAATATGTATGTTTGAGCCCTGAAAAATTTCACTATTTGAGCCACTGTACCAGACTGCTTTTATCAATGCCCCTCAATTCTCATTAATATTAAAAAAACAATTGATAAAACTATTCATTTAGCTTTTATAAAAATTACATGACGTGACATTCTGTTATATTTTTCTGTTTGTGCTGTGTAGCTGGTCACTGGTGAGGGTGCTGGACAATTTAACTACCTATAATTTTTTGTTATACAATAATAAATTTATTTTTTTATAGTAAATAAATAATTAATGAATAAATCAATTTTTAGAATCAAAACTATACCACGATAGGGTTGCGAGGCACGTGAGTTGGACAAGAGTAGCCAAATCTACTTACAGTAACTTTGACAGTCTGGAAGAAGAAGACAAAAGATCAAAACGTAAGATAAAACATACTGTGGAGATAAAACCTGTAAAGCTCAGTAAAAGACCAATTTGGCTAAAAATAATTAATTAACATTAAACCAGTTTTCCCTTTAAAAACCAATACCTATATTTTTTAATTATTTTATTTTATTATATTTTTTTTAAATAATAATAAATGTTTAAAAAATAAATAAAAAACAGTCTAGTCTAATATAGGTACTGGATAATTTGCCAAGTATTGAAGTATGTTCACCCTTTTATTATCCTTAAATTAAATGTATTGATTATTATTTATTAAAATTCTTATTTTTTGAATTTTTAAATGTTTACTCAAAAGCCAAATCAATACATAGATTTTTTTCAATAATTTTATGAGTATCCTATGCAGATACAAATTAAATTTTTTTATGAAAAACATCCATTTTCTCTTGTAAATTGTTGATCGAATTAGTTAAAAGGATGTCAGCTCATTGTATTTTTCCTCCCCACATAGCAAAATTCTTCCCGGGACGTCATTAGGACCATCCTAATCATGTCCGCAAGTTATCCTAACAGTATGCTCGAAAAAGACATTCTGAGGATGCTCTTAGTACAGTCTCAAATGACTTACCTCCCATTAGGGTACTGGTAGGATATTGGGTAAATCCTATTTGAATACTTAATGGAATTTGTGAGGATTTAAATCTACATCATAATAAAGGACTCACAGAAGATATAATTATTTTATCATGTACCTACTCAGAAAGACGTATTAATAAGTACCACCAGGCACCATGAAGTATATGAACATTATACCAATCAATATATAGGTACAAACCACTAGTATATTTAATATTATACTGTATTTATTGTATAATGAGTTAACGGGCATCGGGCAGTTTTCCCACGGAGAATGGAGATAACACTATAACAGACAGAATTATCTCATGGAATTCCAGACTAATCTAGTTGGTATATATGGCGGTAGTGCAGTACGCACAAACAAGTATTTATTTGTTATCGATGTTATCGTATAACATAGGGAATTTTTTCATCGTTATATCACAGATTATATAAATAATTATATAATCTGATTTATATAATCTGTGGTTATATTTCTAAAAATATCCATATTGGTACACTAATTCATTTTACAAAATTATTTTTTTTCTAATATTCTATACGCGGCGGTACAACGGTCGTCACTAGGGTCGCGCTGGTTCGTGCGGCTCAGCTCAGCCAGCTAATTGACCAACTCGACCGCGCGCATCATCACTCACTCTTGGGCCTTCCCACGCCGTTTGCGACATTCTGTTCTCTGCAGTTAACAGTTCTCACTTCTCGACGATATTACATATTTTTTTTATAAACCTTGATTTTATACTTGTGTTTTATTTTATACGCGTACTAGTGTTATGACTTACTAGTCAGTAGGTAGTCGTGTGGTTGGCTGATCTTCAACAGGTTCGTATATTATATTGTAGTAATTACAATGTAGTTATGTTTAATTAAAAAATTCTAAATTATATAGGTAACTTAGTACCTAACTCAAAATTTCTAATACAGTTCAATAGTTCATAGTTCATTTATCATCATGTCGTCTAATGATGAATATTTATCTAAAAAGTAAGTACCATTTATATAGTGTGACAAACCTAATTATGAAATATTACAATATTGATTTTATTTTTTTTACAACAAACAGAGTAGTTTTAGTCTAATGAGATTTTTAATAACCAATGAACTGGCAACAAAAATGACCTTTTTTGGAAAAACATCCAAACTAGCGTTTGGATCATTAAAATTATATGCAATTTTAGAAAGTTGGTTCACATTTGTAATTTAATATTTTCGTTGTCCAATAATATTTTATTTTTAGAAGTCATGTTGAAGAATAATCCTGAACTTACAGTAAAAAAATTGCAAGAGCCAATTCAAAGTTGGTTACGCCATGCAAATGAAAGATTCACCAAACAAAATTGCCATGTAGATAATGTAAGTTAAATAATTATAAAAGTTTGTATGATCATTAATTTTTGTTGAAATTTCAATTAATATTATTAATCCTTTTTTTAGGAACAAAATTAAAAGCTGTCATGTGTTAATTACTGTGTATGTATGTGATCTAATTTTAAAATTTTTATTTACCATATCTGACTTAATTTAAATTGAATTATTTTTTTTTTATTTATGAATTTTTTTGTATACTTTTCTACTAATCATGTGACTATTATTTTATTTTATAGCTATTACTATCATACCAACATTTTTAATTAAATATTTTTTTTTGTCTTCAATAACCATAATACCCAAAAAGATTTTTTTTTTTTGGTTTTTTTTTATACATTAATTATGTAACTGTTCATTTATACTGAATGATTATTATTTTTTTAATTTATGGATTCCTCATAACTACAATTTATTTTAATATTTGTTACCCTGTGGCAATATATACTTTGACTATGTGATAATTGTAAGACTGTTGTATAATACTTTTATACTAATCTGTTATTATCTAATGACTGTTATTTTATTTTATAAACACTTAAAATTAGATATTTTATTTTGATTATATTGAGTTGTATGTATGTACTAATATATTTGATATTACATGTAAAATAAAAAATGTAATTAATTCTTAATTTTATATGTTAAGTGTATTCCCAGTTCATCAGGGTAAGATCTCCTCACTTCATTCTGATGGAGTGTTCTCAGTTCATCCTTGTAGGATATCCTCACTTCATTCTGATAGGGGGTTCTCAGTTCATCCTTGTAAGATGTCCTCACTTCATTCTGATAGGATCCTCTTAGTTCATCCGTGTGAGACGTCCAGAGGATAAATAAAAAAAGGACATCTGGACATTCTATGGGTATCCTCTGATCGTCCTGAGGATAGTCCTGACCATCCTGCTAGGACCATTTAAGTACATACTGTGGACATACATTTGCTATGTGGGTCTCTATAACTCAAATGCAACAAGCAACTAGTTCACCGCATGCTCTTATTGCATCTAAATTCAAATTCAAACTAGTATTTTTTGAGTAACTGAAATTTATAACGTCGTCTAACTCCATGATTAAATGAAAAAATTAAGTACACTATTCACTTTTAAATAACTTTAAATTCACTTTAAATTTATGGTAAAATTTTGTAAGTGTTCCTCAACCACGTTTTCGGGACGAATGATTCGCTCCAATTTGTATAACCTATTATTTTGACTTTTGTTAAGTTTGGCGCCAATAAATTGGGTATGAGAAATTAGTGGGGACGCGATTTTTGACGCGAAATAAACGCTCGTGTGTTTTTATATTTGCCGCGATTTGAAAATCATGTACGCGCGCGTTCGAATCGCTCCGTGTGTAACCAGCTTTAGCTACGATTCTGCAGTTGACAGTCGACCATCGTGTAGTGGAGTGAGACGAAACAGTTGTTCGTACTTTATATTTTATTTTTTAATATCTAAAATATATTTTTAATTTGCTTATTACAAATTACAATACAAAATCATGGTTGGGAGGAAACCTTTAGTGGATCCACTAAGGATCATAAACGCAGTACTCTACTATAAAAGTGCAGTACTTGAAGAAAACAATGGTGTAAAAAGTAAGTACCTACATTTTTATTTAAAATTGTAATAATATAAACACATATAGTAGATTATAAGTACCTACCTATATTAGTATCTTTAATTCCATATTGAAAAAAATTAATTTTTGAATGAGATATTTTCAATGGTAGGAAGTTCTACTACTACAGTACTACCTAAGTCCTAGTTTAATGAAAAGTAAGTAGTTAGGTAAATCTCTGAACAGTAGGTAGGTACCTAATTAAAGTTAATTTCAATCTTTGTTTCATGTGATATAATATATCTAGTGATATAGGTATTATGTATATAATATATGTTTATGCATTTTTTTTATAAATACAAATAAAAACAAAACCAATTTAATCAAGGTATATAATATTTCTGAAGCTAATTCATGAATTTAATTAAATTATAATCTTATTATTTTAGAAATTGTTGTAGCATCAAACACTGTATGGTCAGATATCAGTAATCGACTAGGTGGTTCTATTAGCAAAAGTGCGCTTTATATATTTGTTCAACAAGGACGCCATGGTATACATGAAAAGCTTGGAATTGGTATAGCAAACAAGAGACTTGACTCTGAAAATAATGTTCAAAGTGTTGAGCCTATCGTTGCATTTGGTAATGTTATAAAATTACAATAAAATATTTTCAAAAATAAAATAAAATTTAAAATTTAAATAACAATGTGTCTTAAATCTCTTAATATCGAATATTTATGATTTTTTATATATTTACTAAATTACATACCTACTGCAGGTTGATATTTTATGAAATATAGGTACTTATAATTTAATATTTATAGATGAATCTAGTGATAGCAGTGGTGACAATGTAGACAACTTACCATCAAAACATTTTACCATTACATTGTCTGTTGATGAATGGAAGCAAATAGAACCTAATGAAGTTCTATATAAAAATAAAAATAGTTTTCGTTCTTATTTGGTACTACCGAAAGGATCATGGACAAATATTTTAGCTGAACATACATGGATGCATACAAATTTACCTTGCTGTATTGCTTTTAGAAGAGCTAAAGTTACAGATGAAGGAAACCATTTTATTGTAATAGATGGAAGATGTTCAATATGCTATTCTTATTTTAAGGGAGTTATATTTGAAAAACCATCAGAAAATTCTAGGTATGTATTTTAATGAATTACCTAATTAAAGACTAATAAATCTATAGTTATGATAATATACATTTAATAACTATTATAAAACTTGAAATATTATTGGTACCTACATATAATAGTATAATATAGATATATAATTGAATTATTTAGGTATCTTGTGATTTTTATTTTTATTCATAACAAAATACAACAAAATAATAATACCAGCAATTAACTGTAATTTAATTTGTTATAAAAGAGTTCTTATGGAATGCACATACACTGGACAGTTTGATGATCCACATAAAATAATTAAAAAACGACGATTAACTGGAAAAGCTAAAATCAATGTGGTGTCGGCTATTGTAAATTGTGGAAAATCTAGTGAAACATATAGAGAATTTGAAGCAGTACGGCTCATGAAACCAGGTACCTATCTTAGTATTATTTATTAGGTACCTAATAAAATAATATTTAATTATATTTAAATATTGATGACTTTTTAATTCATTTCAATTTATATTTATCTACGTTTGATAGTAAGCAATGTGTAATTATATGTTTAGATTTCAATATTAATATCTTAAACAATAATATCAAAACTATTTAATACCTCAATATCTTACCTAGTCATTGTTTTTTATCCTGTATAAATGGGTATACTAGAGTAGTAACAAATTCAGCCACTTGTATCGATCATATTTTTGTCAAAAACTTTGAAATAGATAATATTAATCCTATAATTCTTAAATGTGATATTACAGATCATTTTGCAACTATCATTAACTAACATAGACTATGGTAAAATCAACACTACTCAATACTCATACTAAAAATAATTTAAAACAATATACTAAAATTGATTTTAATCTTTTAAATAATATGTTAAAAGATGATAACTGGTCCTGTTTATCTAATATTAGTGATGTTAATACATTAATTAATATATTTAATAATAAATTTAATTTATATATTAATTTCTCTAGTACAGTGAAACTCGTTCATGTTACTAGTAATAAATTTCGTAAGCTTAAAGAATGGATGACTCGTGGCCTTGTGGATACTGTTGAAGAAAATCCAAGCACTTTTACTGTCCCAAAACGTGATGACAGACACAAAAAAAAAAAATTAAATAAAAAAAACACACATCATTGTAAAATCAATACATTCATCGTTTCACTCAGAATCTAAAATAAAGTGATGGGCATCTTTCTTGATATTCAAAAAGCTTTTGACTCGGTTAATCATGTTATTTTATTAAAAAAAACTTTATTATGCTGGTACTAGAGGTTCTACATTAAATCTTTTCAAATCTTACTTAAGAAATAGAACACAGGTTGTCAGATTAAATGGTGTTATTAGTGATCCTGTTAATATTACGCATGTGGTACCACAAGGAACTGTATAAAGCCTATTTTATTTCTTATTTATATAAATGGTCTATTAAATTTAAATGATGCCATTTCTTGTTTTGCTGATGATACTGCCATATTGCTACATAGTGACAATTATAATGATTTATATAAAAAAGCAATTTCACTACTATACTGTTATATTATTTAAACAAATCTTAACTCATATATTGTTACATTTTATACCTTGCTTAATCTTAATTTTTATTTATTCTTTCTGACATTTTGGCAAAATAACATGTATACTTAAATTATAATCTGACTCTACTCTCCCAATACAAGCGAGAATACAAGCTATGCTTATAGGGAGTGTTGCATACTATTCTATTGTCTTAATTTTAATGTATTGTATTCTTATTTGCAAAATGAAATAATAATTATTATTATTATTATGTTAATAAAAAGGTAATTTAATTTTCTTTTTTAATTTTCCACTAATTATGATTCCCTAAATAGTTTGAAAAATTTAATAAGTACAATTTTAGTTCTGTGGTATCACCCGTACAGGCATACAATATACGACAGTACCTACTGATCACTATTAGATACAAAATGTAGGCACTTATAGATTCATACATTTTCTTTGAGTTGTCTGCTACAATAACATATAATACTTTTAAAAAATAATATTTTTAGTGCATGGAAAAAAAACAAAGTAGGACTTACCTAGGTACATGATTTTTATAAAAATAACTTCATGAATTATTAAAAATTAATTTATTATAGTTAATTTAATACTGTTTAATAAGTTATAATTAATAAATAGAATTATATTAATACAATAGATCATTAGTATCAATAAAATATGACTTAAATAGAAATAAATACTTAAACATTAATATAAAATATTTGTATGACTCATTAAAAATTACTAATTTATAAAATAAATATCTTTATATCCTTATACCACTGCGTATAAATTTATTTGAGTTTAAACCTGAATTTTTAGGTGACCCTGAACCTGCAATTATTCCATCTGGTGGAGCTTTAAGAACTTTAAAATGGAGACATAATTCAGAGAAACTTAGAAATAAAGACACAATAACAGCTTTGGCATTAATGAAAGAAGAAGAAGAATACAAGAATGTCTTACAAGATATGGGTTGTTTTCCTTTTTTTCTTCATTATCAAAGTAGTGAACAAATTCATGTGTACCGGGATTACTGTCGAAATTGTCCTCAACCAAAAATTATAATCGATGCCACTGGATCTGTTATTAGTAATTTCAAAAAATGTGGTATGGAAAAAACAAAATCATTGTTTTTATATGAAATATTAGTATATGATGCTTCTAAAAAACATAGCTTTACAGTGAGTAACATGATAAGTGAACGGCATACAAATATTGCTATATTTAACTGGTTTGCAAGATGGCTTAATTGTAATGTTCCGTCTCCAAAAGAAACAGTGTGTGATCAGTCATTAGCCCTCATATCTGCCATAGTACAATGCTTCACGCAATATTCATCTCTACAAGAGTATCTTAATGTATGTGCTGATTTGACATTAAATCAGTTAGATTCAAATTCTCATTGGCTGCCCCGGTGCTTCGTTAGAACAGATGTTGCTCATTTTATAAAAATGATAACTAGATAGCCACCTCTAAAAACAACATCTAGACGAGTAAAAGAAATAATTCTTAGAGTGTTTGGGTTATTAATAAAAAGTCAATCCATTGAAGAAATTTATTCTTTAATTTTATCAATGTTTATAGTACTTACTAGTGAAACAGATGGAAATTATGTTGAACTGGGCCATGAAACAGCTTGTGAGCGCCATAAAATAAGACTGATAGAGGCTACATCATCAGGATTTATCAATTTTGAAGAAGAGTTTAATGAAATTATGCTGATGGCTGATAACGAAAATGAAGCACGAATTTTATTGGAGGAAGAATATGACCGACAATATGAAGGTCTGGATAATTTAAACAATCCGTTTAAATCCTGGGCAGAAGAAATTTTAAAAAGAAGTGAATTATTGTTAAGAGAAGGGTCAGGAATTAATGCAATGTACATGCCAACTTTGATTCCACACATAATTAAATGTTTAAAACTTCTCCCTTTATGGTCTGGGTTAATGGTACCTATTTTTGGATTTGGAGATGAAACTACAAGTTCTGCAGCTGTAGAATCCAGCTTCAAAAAACTTAAAACATTAACATTTAAAGATATTTCGCTTCCTACAAATATTGAGACGTTTTTAGAAAGACACATAATTTCACTGCGTGGTACATCTCTTCTACGGTCTTCACATCAAAATGTATTATTAGACAGCCTTCAATTACATGCAAATAATAACAGTCATCAAACTGAAAATGAAGTCCAAAACGCAGATATTATCAATGATCAAAGTGAAAGAGAAGACTTAGTACCACAAATAGATAATGTTAGTAATATTCAAAGTGACAATTTAAATGAAGAAGACACAGCAGTAGAAAGTTGGAAACGTAGATCTAAAAAACAAAGGACTACAAAATCATACCTTGTTCCTAATCCTCATTTAAGGCATTTGGACATAAATAAATCGAAAAATATATTATCATTGCCATTATTAAAAAATGGATCTAGAGCAGAGGAACTAAAAAGTTGTGCTGTCCAAAGCATTGGGAAAATAATTATGAGCAACACTTGTGCGTTTGATACGGTTTCCTCCATTATTATGGTTGCTTATTGTGATAGTATCAAATACAGTCAAGAATTAGACAATTTTTTGGAAAATAATGAATATTTTTCATTTATATCAAAAATTGTAAGACAAGGTATTACATCGTCAACTTATTCAGATAGAGCTAGTATAATGGTTGGTATTTAAATTGAAATACATACATACTTTAAAATTTTATTTTATTTTTTTGTTTAAATTTATGTATGAATCTACATAATAATTTATTTATATATTTCATTTTTATGTTGTTGTGAACTAACATGAATATTATTGAAATATTCACTGTAATAAAAAAAATGGATTGCATACCTAATAGATATCATAATTTTGTATGCAATTTGTATTGTATATATTTTGTATGGTTTATAATGTTTGTATATTTATTTCAGATAAGTGAATTTGAACCACGTATGGAATTTTTAGAATATGGTACTACTTTAGCAGTTTGTGATACCACAATAGGACATATAATTAAACAATTATTCAATGATCTTCCATCGGCTTTAGACATAATAGAGTGTACAAATCTAAAATGTAAAAAAACAACATTAACCCCTATATCTGTACCTTATATAAATATTCAAATTACAAATGAGGACTTGAGTTACCTACAACAGGATATAGATAGTAGAATGAGAACTAATACTTCAATATGTGGTCATACTGAAAAGAACAGTACACCGTGCATTGGTAACAAAACAGTGACAACTACAATACAAATGCATTTATTTATTGAGCTCCTCAATAGGATAGGTATTAATTTTGTATTTATCTTATTGATTAAAATATGGTTTTTCCTAATTTATATAAGTAAAATCTATTTTATTTCAGAGGAGGATGAAATAAATAGCAGCCAGCATAGCACCGAAGCAGCATCTCATCCTAAAATAAAGTTGTCAAATATCCCACCTGTACTTATCATAAATGAAAAAGCATTTGAACTGAGAGGTGTATTTTGCTATCAACAAGGATTAAGTAGGTTAAGAAACTCTGTAGGGCATTATTATGCTTATGGAAAACGAGGACCAAACAACTGGGAGCTATTTGATGACACAAGGAAAAAAACAAAACCTGTAAAAAATTCAACTGTCGCCCCATGTGAATATTTAATGTATTCAATTTGAAATATTATATTTTGTTATTTTTGTTTTATCTTAAAAATAATATTCAATAAAAGGATTTTTTTTTACCATGATACAAAATTAATTTTATAGTGTTCAAATTACTGAACATAAAAATATCTTATACAAAAATAAGTCAACTTGTTATCTGTAAGTTAATTTTACATTGCTTCCACAAAGTAGTAATAGCAATAATTATTATTCAAACATAATATGATATAACTTCACAAATCACAATAGAGTATTTCATTATACATTTATACCGGTAAAGTTAATGGTGTACAAATATATCAATATTACAAAGGTATAGTAATTTAACATTTAAGATCCATAGTAGGTTAATGTATTCATTTGAAAAACATCTTCAACAATATAACTATTGTGAAGAAACTATCCAGATTATAATATTTTAAACCAAAACTTTGAAATATGTTACCTTATAATGGTCAATACCTACCTATATCATACATATATAGGCAAATAACAAAAATGTTTAAAAAGTCTATGGTATATATGTGCAAATATTTATATACCTTTATAAGTTTAATTAATAGGTTGGTACTCATATTTGATATTAGTATGGATGATAAAAAAAAAAAAACAATAATAATGTTATTCCGTTTACTGACTTTATACTAGCACGCATTGCCAATAGAATATATGAACTTCAACTGTCAACATAAATGTATTCATATCTTTATGTATTGAAGAAAACACAATTAGGTGTTTAAAATTTGAATGAAAATTATCGGACAACTACTTTCTCATAGGTACCTACCGTAAAATGGGATATCACTGGCCCACTTTTTATATTTTTTTTTATACATTGTGGTGAATTTTGGAAAAATCTTTATAAAAATCCGTAATTAATAATTTTTTTTAGTAAAATATGGATCAACTATTTTATATTATAAGTCACATTGACATTATTAACATCTTATGGCCAATGTTGCACATATATGGGGTACCTAATTATGTCCTACATGTATAAACTCACTGTAAAAGGTGTATTTCATAAGTTGGGTCAATTGTATAGCATATAGTATACATTAGATATTAGAGCAATTAGTTAAATTAATAACTAACTTAAGTCTCAAAGTAAATTTTAATTTATAAGTCAAATGGTTTTGTTTGTAGGTAGGTAACCTCCTAATGAGACAATAGTATTGTAAAAAAAACTTTTTCCACTTAAACTGTTGAAATATCCCTGTAAAACAAGTGTTCAGAAATGAACGGTGAAGTATGTAGAAATGTCCCGATTGAATTAAAGAAATCACCCTGGTTGAAAAAAAGTGCTCAGAAAAGCACGGTGGAGCATGTAGAAATGCCCGCTTGAACTGAAGAAATCACCCTGTAAAAAAGGTGCTCAGAAGGAACAAAACCATACTACTTATTGAGTACCTAGGTGCCTAATTTCTGAGTTATTATAGTAATATTTAATATGTAAATATGTTTATAACAAGGGGCAAGGATAATAATCCATAAAAATAAAATTAAAAAAAAAAAAAAACAGTATAACGTGTATATTATAACTGAAAAACTACTCGTTCGAGTTTTGGTTTAGATATAATATGCTTTATTTATAAGCATAAAAAAGTGAACATTCTTAAAAATTCACAATGTATAAACATTAAACAAAACAATTTATTTATTTGGGTTGTATGTGAATTTAATTTATTTAAATACATAAAAACTAGGTATAGTCCAACCATTATACGCACATGTGCAAATTATGTATTATACCTATGCATGATACAATTTTATTATGAAATATATTTACGATAATAATGCACCTTTCAGTGCGGCGAGATCAAAAACCAAAATATTGGGGTTAAGACTATGGGAATAATCTAGTAAACATGTGCAATGCATTTTGAAGCTGTGTTTAACAAAATTATACAAAAACATTTGTGTATACCTAATATATTTTAAAATGTCGTAATTAAACACAACGTAAGGTCTTTGAATTTTGGGCGTAGAAACAAAAACGTTATCTGTAGTCCTGGTACTGGACTATTTTAAAAACTACTCACTTATAATAGGTATGTTAAAATAAATATACGAGTTAAATATTATAATAGTCTCAAAAATACGATAGCGCTTGTGTAACAGTCATTAGCAATAATAATAGGTAATCTATTATATATTATAAAAATAAAAAAATAATTTTCAAACTCATACAGTCATACAGCATACTTATAATAAATTGTCTTAATTACTATAGTAAATAATATTAAATAATGGAAGCCTAAAGGTAAATTAAAAGTTTATTTCAAAATATTTTACAATAATAATACTAATAAAATGATAGTTCACGGAGATAGTGCCTAGCCAATACCTATAAGATAATGACCACACCAATTTGTTTGAATCTAAAGATAAATTAACTAAATAAAAATTAATTAAAGTATTGGAAATAATAAATAGTACAGCATTTTGATCAGAAATTATCCATCCTCTCGTCTAATGGATACACATTGACCATAATAAGAGATGGTAAATAGGAGAATAATATAATATTACGTAATTAATTAATTTTTTTAAATGTCGGTATCTAAGTATAATCAAACATTTTTTCAAATACCTATAGATTAATATATTACAATACATAGGTACAGATTGTATTGGTGACCGTGACAGTTTTTTTAAATGAAACAATAAAGTTATATGTACTCCTGGAATAATATATAAGCTAATTTATACATACGTACATAATGTTCAAATAAATCCACTTGTGAAATTACAAATGTCTCAAAAATACGCTTTGTATGTTCAAACAATTTTAATTTTAGAGCTTTTATTGTATGCATTTGAAATTTCAAATAACCCATGTCGGGGGCTGGCGTGACGTCTCGCCACCCCCCCCCCCCGACGGGTTTTTCGATATCCCCCCTGAACGAAGAACGTACGAATGTTTATATTGCGCGTACAAATACGTACGAATAGAGGGCAATGTATTGGTACAAAAAAAATTTCAAATAATCCATGTCGGGGGCTGGCGTGACGTCTCTCCAACCCCCCGACGGGTTTTTCGATATCCCCCCTGAACGAAGAACGTACGAATGTTTATATTGCGCGTACAAATACGTACGAATAGAGGGCAATGTATTGGTACAAAAAAAATTTCAAATAATCCATGTCGGGGGCTGGCGTGACGTCTCTCCAACCCCCCGACGGGTTTTTCGACATCCCCCCTGAACGAAGAACGTACGAATGTTTATATTGCGCGTACAAATACGTACGAATAGAGGGCAATGTATTGGTACAAAAAAAATTTCAAATAATCCATGTCGGGGGCTAGCGTGACTTCTCTCCAACCCCCCGACGGGTTTTTCGACATCCCCCCTGAACGAAGAACGTACGAATGTTTATATTGCGCGTACAAATACGTACAAATAGAGGGCAATGTATTGGTACAAAAAAAATTTCAAATAATCCATGTCGGGGGCTGGCGTGACGTCTCTCCAACCCCCCGACGGGTTTTTCGATATCCCCCCTGAACGAAGAACGTACGAATGTTTATATTGCGCGTACAAATACGTACGAATAGAGGGCAATGTATTGGTACAAAAAAAATTTCAAATAATCCATGTCGGGGGCTGGCGTGACGTCTCTCCAACCCCCCGACGGGTTTTTCGACATCCCCCCTGAACGAAGAACGTACGAATGTTTATATTGCGCGTACAAATACGTACGAATAGAGGGCAATGTATTGGTACAAAAAAAATTTCAAATAATCCATGTCGGGGGCTGGCGTGACGTCTCTCCAACCCCCCGACGGGTTTTTCGACATCCCCCCTGAACGAAGAACGTACGAATGTTTATATTGCGCGTACAAATACGTACAAATAGAGGGCAATGTATTGGTACAAAAAAAATTTCAAATAATCCATGTCGGGGGCTGGCGTGACGTCTCGCCAACCCCCCGACGGGTTTTTCGATATCCCCCCTGAACGAAGAACGTACGAATGTTTATGTTGCGCGTACAAATACGTACGAATAGAGGGCAATGTATTGGTACAAAAA